ATATATATATATTCAATCTTTCTACTACTATTACTACTATTAATATGTTAATAATATTTTTTTTTTTTGGCAATAAAATTTTAATCATTTATATTCATAGTACTTGTTATAACCAACAAGTTAATATACACGTTTACTTGATTGTAGATACTAATTGTATCAAAAGATTGTTATCTGAAAATGTTTATATCAACATCTGTTAAATGATCGTACGTATGTATGTATGTATCGAGAAAAGAGGTTTTAAGTTTGCACCTTGGGTTTATAAATTATGGAAGCTTACTTATATATACTGGTTAATAACATCAACCACGACGAGTAGTCGTCATATCTCGTTTGATGGTTCACGATGCTTTGCTAAAGCAAAACCGGATTGATTGACCATTGAAAAAGGTTCGCTAGACCGTGAAACTATCGATGTGACCTTCTTTTACTCATTCACGTTTGCTGTCTCACATTTATATTTTATGTTTTTTGTTTTTTTTTTTTTTTTTTTTTTTTTTTTTTTTTTGTAAAAGTTGTCCTTCTCATTTAACTCAATTATTTTATTTTTATCCTATCAATTTTTCCAGCAATTAATTTTCTTTCACGTATTAACCATCACTGTTCAATTAATATTTCCATCGTATAATTAATTAACAATAATCATCATGTTTTATTTGTAAAACAAAATGAAAAACAATCATCGATCGATAGAAGATGACAAAAAGTATTAAAAAAAAACGTTCGAGAGACGATGCTTAATTAAAAAGAATTTATTTCAATAATTAGGTAGTTTTATATAAAATAAACAAAAATGTTGTCGTATCTTAGTTGAACAAATTGACAAGTTGTGTATAAAACGATGTACACAAAATTACTTTTACGTATTGAAATTGAAACGACAACGAATGTTGTTCAGATAAATAATAATGATGAAGAAGAAGATATATGTGTGAAAATGACGAAGACAAATAATGAAGAAAAATGATGATATGGACGAACACGTGATGATGATGATGATCATTGATGATCCTTCGATCTAAAGAAGGACATGGCTAAGGGTATGGTGAAGGAACAAGGCGATTGTCCTTTATACTGGGTCCATGATTCCGGGGGACAAGTGAAATATCTTCTACGTGCTGCTGCACTTTATTTAACAATAGTTGCAGCCTTGTGGTGCGTCCCTGTCTGCCTTTATGATCGGTGAGGATCTGGGGTTATTGAGGGTTTTGTTTTTTTCTTATATTTTTCTTCCTACTTTCTGTCATTTTATTTAGGAAGGACATGACTAGGTTCTACAGTTGATGGGAATGGGGAAAAATATATATATTTTTTTTTTTTGTACACATATTAAATATTACTAATCATTTATTCGCAGAATTTCGGAGACCGGTCAAGCAGTGGTTTTGACATTGGTGGACACAGCAGCTGCAGAATTGCAGAGCCTTGCTGAACCTAAAATCGAATTGGATTCTCATTCATCTGTGAAAAATTCGAGTACTAAAGGTGGTAGGAGATACTCTGAGGATGTCCATGATGCTAAAACATCGTCCAATCAATTACCGAGTTCTCCGATTATTAAGGAAGAAAGTATTGAGGAGGATAACGACACAAATAATGTGTTGTTGAACGAGGATGAAGTTTTAGGATTGCATGGAACGACTAATGGAAAAATTCATGAGAAAACACCTGACATTGTGGTTGTGGTCAGAGCTGAACAACAGAAGATTGCAGTTGATGGTGTGGATGTTACTAGAACGGAAGTTAGATCAGAGGAGGAGGAGGAAGGTGTCGAACAGGTGTTACAGGATGAATTGGGGAAAGTTGAGGAAGAAGATTTTGGTACGGCATCCGAGTTGAACGATACTGCAGCTAGGGTTAGGTTGATAAGTGGAGGTAACAGGGATGATGTGGCTTCTGCTGTTATAATCGATGGTCTTGTTGCTTCTGGACCATCCGATTCGCACGAGGATATACCATCGTTCAGCGAATGGGCACAGAAACGATTGGAGGAGGCAGAAAAGAAAAAGAGTGAGTATAGAAATCATTTGAAAAAAAAAAAAAAACACGATTCGTTTTAATTGGATTATTAATTGGTGGTGTATGTGTTTTTAATTGATCATTAATTTAATTGCAGCACATCCAAACGCCTCGGTGCAAAATCCAGGTGGTCCAGGTCGAAGTATGGGCGGTATGAAAGTACGTTCGAAGAATTATGCTTCTCCCGATTGCGGTGCCAAGATCGTTGCCGTTAATCCAGAAGCTCAACACGCTAAAAGTGTATTGGCTGCTACCAGAGATGAATACATGTTGAATACTTGTACATCACGGGTCTGGTTTGTGGTTGAACTCTGTGAAGCCATTCAAGCTAAGAAAATTGAGTTGGCCAATTTCGAATTGTTCAGTTCATCGCCAAAGGAATTTTCCGTTTACGTGAGCGATCGTTTTCCAACACGAGATTGGAGCCCGGTTGGTCATTTTACTGCAAAGGATGAAAGAGATATTCAAAGCTTTGCATTGCATCCTCAACTCTTTGGGCAATTCATTAAAGTGGAACTTCAATCGCACTACGGTTCTGAACATTTCTGTCCTATTTCTCTGTTTCGTGCTTACGGTACCAGCGAATTTGAGGTATTAGAAACGGAAACAGAGAATCAATTGTCAAGGGAACCGACAGAAGATGATGAAGACAATGATGAGGAAGAGATTCTCGATGCTGATGGTGTACCATCGAATCTTTTTGGCAGTGCTAGGGATGCCGTTCTCAGTATAGTTAAAAAAGCTGCTGAAGTATTGGTTAAATCTAGCGATTTGATCGATAACAATATAACGAAGATACAACAGAACATCGATACTGGGACAATATTGAAAAATTCTTACAACAGTTGCACCACACCCAGATATACTATACTCTGTGCTAAATGTTCCGATCAAAAGTTTGCCAAAGTGTTTCAATTGGTCGGTTGTAGGGATCGACAATTGGACGATCTTTTAAAGAATAATCTGGTGAATGAAACTCTCAGAGAAAGTGGATTATGTGCCGATCATGGCGTAGATTTTTCAACGATCGATCAAATGAAGAAAGAACATTTAAGTGAATCCAAAAGTAATGCGAAAAATCTTCAAGCAACTTTTTTCTCTTCCGTCTTCAATCCCGAATACATAGTTGCACTCTGCAACGTATTGGCAACTAAAGAACGTAAAGTTGTGATGAACACCAGTTACGAGATACCTGGTAGCGAATCGGAAAACATCACGCAAAAAGATCCTACGTTGAAAATAGAATCCACTGATAAGACCAGTGATCTTCCTGTCGTATCCTCTTCATCACAAATTATTACTCCATCGATAACATCTTCTTCGAAGGATTCCAGACAACGTCAAGAATCCTCGAGCGAAGAATTGGAGACCACGAGTACGACGTTGACTGGAAGCTTAACCAATGGCGAAAATTTAGCTTCCCAAATAAAACCAATGAAAACTTTAAGCAAAGAAGACTTGGGTGAAAAGGAACCGTCCTTGTCTAGTTCAGAAATTAGAAAAGAAATGGTGGAGGAAACTTTGCAAGGTGAAATGGTTACAACTGCACCGCTTGTTACAACTTCACCAACGCCCACATTGAAAATTATCGAAGATTCATCGGTCTATAGAGCTACCGAAACGATTACTCAAACTGCACCCAGTGTTCCAATGTCCAATTATGCTGGCCAAGAAATCAATAGTAATCTTCCTTCGTCTATTATTGAATCCGGTGAATCTGTTATTCAAAGTAAAACTGAAAAGACTGAAAGAGCTGAAAACGTTGGGACGAAAAAATTGGAACAAGTTGAAATTGATAGCAAAGGAAAAGGGGAATCTGGTGAACAAGAAGGAAAATTGTCTTCTCAAGATCATCTTAATTTCGACTCGTTACTTTCGGATTTGAAAGATTTAGAAAACGATGCAATTAATTTACATAATGGACCAGTTATGGCATCTAACACGCAACCAACTGCGAGTACAACGCCGCAACAAAAGGAGTCCGTTTTCCTCAGGTTATCCAACAGAATTAAGGTCAGTTTATTTCATTAAAAATAACCTTCACACAATATATATATATATTTAGAAAAGAATTGATTTTCCTTTTGATCCGCGTATTAAGTATCATACTATCTTTCATTTGATCTGATAGGAATTTAATTAAAATATAAATCTATGCAGGTAAGCCTGTTTAATGTAAAAAAAAAAAAAAAAAGGTAGAATGTTTCTTATTTATTAATTTTAATTTTATTTAACAGGCACTTGAAAGGAACATGTCTCTGAGTGGTCAATACTTAGAAGAATTGAGCCGACGTTACAAGAAACAGGTTGAAGAAATGCAACGTTCATTGGAACGTGCTGTAACGGCAATGAGCGAGGAATCAAGAAAATCTGATGAACGTGATTCAAAGAGACTCGAGGAAATTGCCATGTTACGAGAAGAAATAGTAATGCTTTCAAATTTGGTGGAAAATATTGTACACGATCAAAACAGTTGGCACGGAAGGTTCTCTGCTATCGGTCAACACGCTCTTTTCATTTGTTTAGAAGTATTTGTAATTATTATTGTTCTTTCTTATTGTCGAAGAGCCAATGATTACGAGGAAGAAGATGAAGAACAGTCATTGTCTAAGAAAAATACTGCTAGACGTAGACAAAGTGTTGAACATTTGTCAAGTTTATCGACTCTTAACAAAAGGATCAAAAAACGACGACCCAGCGAGATTGCATCGAATATATCATCAACTTATTGCAATCTCATGATCGAAGATCACTGCCACGAAACCAAAAAGGAACGTAAAAAGAAACGTAAAAAGGAAGCTAATGCTGCTGCTGCTGCTGCTGCTGCTGCTAAGTTGATTACTGATATTAAAGAGAAAAAACAAACGATTAAATATAAAAGTACTTCGAGTCTTGTACCATCAACAACTAATAATACATTAATTCCAACGAAGAGAGCATCTTCGTCAAGTGATCCACCAAAAATTGAAGATATACAACAACATGGTGGTCAGCAGCAACATAGTCAAACCAAAGACTCCTCGCTTGAATACACAGATATTGCGAGCAAGTTTAATAATGAAGACAAAGTCATTAGTAATACTAAAGTATTGGAAACAACAACAACAACAACACGTGAAAGAAATGTTGAATTTGGTCGTATGGAAGGTGGTGGTGGTGGTGGTGGTGGGAGTGGGAGTGGGAGTAGTAGTAGTAATAATAGTGGTGGTGCAGCAGATTATATCGAAACGCGTTTGTTTTCAATTAATCCTGATAGATTATCTATCATACCGGTTTCTACCTCACAGACTACTGATTTTTCCAAAAATGGCTCTTCCAAGTACAGTGGGATATTAAAAGAAGGAAGATTGAGTTCTCCGTCGTTCATGAAGACAGCTTTAGGAGCTAGGAAAAAGAGAAGCTTCATTAACAATACTGGTCAATCCCAATCCCAACAACAACAACAACAACAACAGAGTAGTAAAGAAGACAAGTGGGAAACTAATTCGGGTAATTCGTCGAGCGATAGATCATCGTCTCATAAGGAATCACCAGTCACGTCGAGAACTTTGTTGGTTAATCTTGGTAACGTAAACGGTAGTGCTGCCAATGGTTTATTGGATGAAAGTGATGAATCAAGAAGTAACAGCGTTACACCAACTTCATGGAAAAAAGAGAAGAAAAGTAGCGGTCTTAAGAAGATGGTGAGAAAGATTTTTTGATTGAAGTAGTAGACTTTTTCAAAATGTGTGCGTGTATTATGTATGTGTGTTGTATGTGATAATACCACGGATGATTAATCGGTCATTGGATAGACAAAAATAATAATTCATTATCGAAATGTATTAATTCGTCTTTATCTTATAAACAAGAAATTCAAATTCTATTTTATTCTATTTTTTTTTAATAATAAAGTTAAATTACAGTATGGTTTGAACAAGTGGGGGGGTCCTGTGGACTCTAATCGTCGCTGTTTATTTCTTTTTTTTTTATATATATATATAAAATATTTCAACTACGAATGTTAATACAGCGATTATTACGAATATATTTTTCGTTTTTCTTGTTAACATTTTTTCAGACTCGCCGAAATACCTACCGATACAATCACAAATATTTGATTTAAAGACGAAGAAAACGATAATGAATAAAATCAAATACATTAATTTAAATATCTACAAAAAAATAAGACAGAAGAAATATATTCATTAATAATTAATATAAATACGTCGAAAAGCATGTTGTTTTATGAATCTCAAAAATGTGAGTATTTCTTTGTTCTTGGTCGCAAGATCTTGACAATTCTTTTTTTTTTTGTTTTTTTTTTTTGTTTTTAATGCAGTAACCGAATTAGTATTGTTAAATAGAAAATAGAGAGAAGGACTATCGTTTTATATTTTACATAAAATATTAGCATTTGCAATAAAACCTTTCTTATGTTATATATATGTATATTGTATACCCAATGTCAAAAATATACAATCCCTGGTTGTTTGTTTACTTGGCAAATTTTCAAATGGCACGCTAGATCGTTAGAAATATAGTTCAATTATTATTTTGTTTCATTTTGTAATTTTTCCTACAAATCTTCGTAGATGTAATACGCACTCAAAATCTCTCTCTCTCTCTCTCTCATCCCTCACTCACTCTCATTCTCTCTTTGTCCTTTGTTTCCTTGCTTCTAAAAATTGTTATAGTGTAATTAAATAATAGAATTACAAATTGAGAGATGAGAGGAGTAACACATGTGAAATGAATAAAATGAATGAGTATGTATGAAACACCTTAATTAAGTTTAATGTTTTTGTATAATTCAAAGATTCAAATATTGGGATCTGTAGCACTTAAATACCGCTATCTGGTGGCTAAATTCAACATTAGAGTAGATAGGTCGAATTGCTACGATGTCACGTGGGATCTATAGCACTTGAATACCGCTATCTGGTAGCTAAATTCAACATTAGAGTAGATAGGTCGAATTGCTACGCCACGTGGGACCTGTAGCACTTGAATACGCTATCTGGTGGCTCAATTCAAAATTAGAGTAGATAGGTTGAATTGCTACGCCACGCCCCTCTGCCAGAGATCCCAATTTGTAAAAAATAAAAGATACAGTAAAGAAGAGTTGATTAAAAAACAAAATGGAAGAAGAATAGTTGAGGAAGATAAGATAAAAAGGTGATCTTTAAATATAGATATTTAGAATAAAGTAGATAGATAATTAAATGAAGAATATAATTAATGACCAACAAATAATAATGTGAACCTTTAATAAGGTTATTAAAAATAAATTATTGAGTGAGAGAGAGAGAGAGATACAACCACATTTATACAACCGAGAGACGATTGATGATTTTTATTCTAATTAAATGTTTAACGAATAATTAAAACTAAGAAGAATGCGAGAGATTGAAGATTATGATGATGATGATGATGATGATAATGATAATGATAATGATGATGATGATGATGATGAATGTAATTGATTTAGGAATATTGATATTATCGACAGATATTATTATAATCGTGTGTGTGTGTGATATCAATTTTTTTTTCCAATTATAATCAAAAACAAAGATTTGTCTTTTGTTTCAAATGTAATGGCGGTTTCCCTATATATAATCGTATTTAATAGAAATTATTTATAAAAGTGCGTTTATACGTGCATTCTTCTTCGTTACGTCAAATGTTCATTCTGAATATTTTATTTTTTTTATATTTACAGTAGAAATCAACAAGAACAAGAACACATGATTTCTTCTTTCAAATATCTTCGTCGTCGTTGTTGTAACTTCTAAGTCACACGGTATATACGTGACAAATCACAGATTACTTTTGCGATAGATCAAACAGGAAAAGTTATACTTTTGTCAACAAAGTTTTTCAATTAATAACAACAACCGAACAACAAACATTTTTTATTGTCAAACTTATTGTCAATCTTTCAATGTTGAGAGAAAATTTGTGATTTTTGTTGATAAACTCTGTAAAATTACAAATGTAAATTTGTCACCCTGTATATATATATATATAGATCTATTAGGTAGATTTTGAGTAGCCCTGTTCTATGATTAACAATAGCGTTTAATTAAATAAAATAAACAATTATTTTGTCATTATTTTACAGTTGTACAAACAAACGCACGCTTGTTGTTCATTTGTAATTTTCTTACATTTTGTATTTGGTTTTGTGTGTTTGCTTTTATGAAGATATTTATCGACGTCTTCCAGCAATGATGTCAAATAATAACTACTCTCTCTCTCTCTCTCTTTCTCTCTTTTATTTGTTAAATAAATTATCCATTATTATTATTAACAATCTATCGCAAAAGAAATAATATATCCTTGTGACGACACGTATATACATGAGCGAAGAAACAATGTGCCAGCATTTCGTATTTGCTAGAAAAAAAAAAAACAAACAAAAAATGAATGTAAAAATACTGAAGAGAAAACACAAAACACAAATAAAATATAAATATAAATAATTAAACAATAAGATATAATAAAAAACAAATAAATAAATAAATAAATAAACGAGCTGTGATAAAACACTCCTTTTAAATTCTTGCGAAGAATGATAGTGATTGCAAAAAAAAAAAAAAGAAAAGCGTAATTTCCAAATGGAATTTAACTAAAAAAAATTACACAAAGAGAGTGAGAGAGAGAGAGAGAGAGAGAGAGAGAGAAAGATAGAAATGAAGAATGGAAGAATGGAAGAATGGAAGAGGATAAAAAGAATGTTTGAAATGACTTCTTAAAACTTCTGATTAAGACGTGTCCTATTACTTAATGTGCATTTAAAGATTTAATAATAATAATAATAATAATGAATGAAATAGAAAAATAAAAAAAGAAGATTAAAAAAAAAAAAAACAATACGTGCTGTATACTCAAACGATTATTAATTATCAAATTTCGTTTGAGTGTATATATATATAGATATAAATATAAATAAATATAAATAAATATTCAATAGATATAGATAAACACATTTTAATACAACTTGAGTCAAATATATTATATGAATGATACATATATATATATATATATATAATATGAGTTTAAACGTTTAGTGTTAAAATATATAATAATAATAATAATAAAAAGAAACATACATTCATCATTAATAATTCATAATCGTATATATTCATTTGCAATTAATTATTAATTATTATCATAGTACATTATTCATTGTTACAATATGTTAATTTAAATCATTTACATATATTATGTATATACTATTTTATATAT